GCTGCTGCTGCAGGGGCAACCCCGCAGAAAACCAGGGCCCCCCCAAGAGGAAGGGGGGGCCCCCAAGGGCCCCCCAGCTGCAGCAGCAGCAGCAGCAGCGCATGCAAGGCGAGAAGCAAGAGCAGCAGGGGCCCCCCTGCTGCTACACCAACGAAGAGGGAGAGAGGCTTAGTTAGCTGCAGCAGCCGCAGCTGCAGCATAAAGAGCAGCAGCAGCCGGGCACGAGGAAAAGCAGCAGCAGCAGCTGCTGCTGCTGCAGCAGAAGCAGCAGCAGCAGAAGCAGCAGCAGCAGCTATACGCAGCGCAAGCGCCTCAAGACAAAAACAGAGACGCATGCAGCTGCAGCAGCAGCAGAAACAAAACGCAGAACTGGAGCGGTTGCTGCTGAACCTGCAGCAAGAAGAAACCAGAGAATGGTGAGCCTCGTTGCTGCTGCTGCTGCTGCTGTTGCTGCTGCTGTTGCTGCTGCAGCAGGAACAGCTGCAGCAGCAGCAGCAGCAGCAGCAGATTTGCAACCAGCAGCTACCACGGCAGTAGCAGAAACTAGTCTCCCACTAGCAGCAGCAACAGCAGCAGCAGCAGCAGCAACAGCAGCAGCAGCAGCAGCAGCAGCAACTTGTGTACGTGCATGTTCTGTGCTGCAGGTGGTGCGACGAGGAGCAGCCCGAGCTAGCAGCAATAGCAGCAGAAGAAGCAGCAGAAGCTGCATCGTTCCCGCTGCTGTCTTCTCTGTAGCAGCAAAGCACCACGGGGTGTATAGACACCTCGATCCAGCAGCAGCAGCAGCAGCAGCAACAGCAGCAGCTGCTGCTGCTGCTGCTACTGTATCATCTGCTGTTGCAGCTGCAGNCAGCTGCAGGGGGCCCCCCTGGGGCCCCTCTTCCGTACCTCTTTTTTGTTGGCTATCATAAAATGTTTATTTGTTTGTCTCCTCTGTCTACTCTTACAGCAATAGAGGCCTAATGCACGGTGACTTGCTGCTGCTGCTGTTGCTGCTGCTGCTGCTGCTACTGGTGCTGCTGTTGCTGCTGCTGCTGTTGCTGCTGCTGGTGCTGGAAAAGGCCTGATTGGGCCGCGCTGTACTTCAGGCGTTTTAGAAGGGTCGCTAGCTAGCTGGATCGACAGCTAGCTGGCTCGCTAGCTAGCTATGCGGGTAGCTAGCTAGCTAGGCAGCTAGCTATCTAGCTAGCTAGGCTCGAGCCCATGCTTTGCGGGAGAAATGCGCAGCTAGCTGGCCAGCTAACTGGCTAGCCAGGTAGCTGGGTGGCTAGTTGGATGTTTCTTAGCTAGCTAGCTAGCTAGCTAGCCAGCAAACCTACCTAGCTAGCTAGCCAGTTGCAATCCAGCTAGCTAGCCAGCTAGCTAGCTGGCCACCACACCAGCTAGCTATCCGGTCAACACCCCAACAACCTAGAAAGCTGGCCAGCCATCCAGCCAGCTAGCTAGCTAGCTACATAGCTAGCCATATAGCTGGCTAGCTAACCAGCTAGCTAGCTAGCTAGCTAGCTACATAGCTAGCCAGATAGATGACTAGCTTGCTTGCTAGCTAGCTACATAGCTAGCCTGATAGCTGGCCAGCTAACTAGCTAGCTGTCTGGCTAGCTAGCTAGNAGCTAGCTAGGTGTGCTAGGGTAAGTCTACATGTGCTAGACAGAGGTAAGAACCCTCAACAGCAGTGGAGACAGAATTGAGCTGCACGGAGGGGACACGAACGACGCCGAAGTCGAAGCCGCGCATATCTTGTATAAGCTGTGCTGCATTGAAACCTTTTCTTTTTTTCTGCTGCTGCTGCTGCTGCTGCTGCTGCTGCTGCTGCTGCTGCTGCTGGTGGTAGTGCTGCAGCAGCTGCTGCTGCTGCTGGCGTTGCTGCAGTTGGTCGTAGTCCGGTTGTTCTCCTGCATCTGACGCGTGCTGCTGCTGCTGCAACTGCTGCTGCTGCTGCTGCTGCTGCTGCTGCTGCTGCTGCTGCTGGCGTGTTCTGTTTACCTCTTTCAATAGAGTCATATGGTATATGGGTTCTATCTCTCCCTGGGGCCCCAGCAGAGACTGCTGCTGCAGCTCCTCCGTCGACAACAACCCCACCTTTATAAACACACTCGCTAACAAAGATGTTATTCTGTTCAGCATGCGCTGCGTCCTCTGCAGGGTCTCCAGGCCGTGGCTGCACACATACATATATATATTTTATTTTGTTTTTTTTTTTTTTTTT